TATATTATTAAGTTAATATGTGACCTTTGGGACTCGAATAAGTACACCCCAAGGGGTGTTCTACACCTGATTGCCTAAAGCAAAATTGTTTGGCACTGATTGGGTTGAAAGTTCGCTACATGGGTTCCATAGAAAGTCATTAACTTAATAATAACAAATAAAGCTAATTTGTGGCCTTTGAGGTTCGGGCAAGTAAATCCGAGGGATCTTTTTAAATCTAGCACAGTAAGGTCATCTGATTTGGATGTGTTGGTTGGAAGCCCGTTACATGGATTTCAAAGAAATCCATGAACTTTATTTGAAGAAAATTATAATTAGATAGTTTGTATATATTTATGTTTATAGTTTAATTGAATAATGTGTTTTGGAAAAATGTTTGGCTATAAACATTGGGACTGACTGTAAACTACTTTGACTGGTGTAAGTGGTTAGAAACATGTAACCAATCTGGGTAAATATTAGGGAATTTTTAGAAATTATTTTTTAGAAAAAGATTATTGTTAGTCAACAAATAGCTAGAGTCGGTCATTGCCATGCTTTATAAAATGAAAATGATTGAGCATATTTTGCATCACATATTTTTACAAGATTAAGACCATAATTTGTTCCATGTACTAGCCCAATACCTGTAAAGTGAACAAGTGTTGTACCTTTTGATTTTGTTGAGTTGCGTTAGGGAATGGCTAAAAACCTTGTTTTACATGTAACATATCTTTTTTTATTGCATGCATGCACTCTTAATTCCATTTAATCCTTTTCGTTCCTTCCATTATTTTCATCTTAGTTTCTTTTTAGTCGCGTATCGTCTTCTCTAGGCTGATTCTTAATTTTGTTCTTTCTTGAGGACAAGAAAGGTCTAAGCTTGGGGATGTTTGACAAGTGTATTTAATGCACCTATTTTGCATCTTTATTTCCATCCTTTTATAGCATTCTACTTTATAATTCTTGCATTTAGTTGATTATTATGGCAATTGCATATTTCATTACGAATGTCTGATACTTCACTATTTTTGATTTATTTTGCAAGCATTATGGAGCATGGAATGTGGAGCCTGGATGCATGGAGCTTGGATTCTTGGAGCTTTGGAGCATGCAGAGAAGATGAACCGGTCAATTCATGGAGGAAAGCATGAAGACATAACCTGAGTCATTGTTGCATTATCATCATAGCAAAGGACTACATTTGAAATTTGGTTCTTGTCACACTGACATGGGTTGTGTTTGTCCTTTATCATCTCATATTTGAGCAACATGACTTGTGGTGAAGCTAGATTGAAGATGGAGTCAACAGTGAAGACTTTTTGGAATTTTAGCAAAAAGCATGGGTCATGCCAAAAACACATGGTCAACACAAATGGCCATGCCAAAAACACATGGGCAAAAAGGCATGGCCATGGCTAAAACGCATGGCCTCATGGCATGCACGTGAACATTAATTAAAAAAGGAGCAGACGTCATTTTGAAAGGGGGAACGATTTTTGGAGCAGTTTAGGGCGATTCTAGGAGAATTTTTGGAGCTTTTGAGAAGACCTAATCATTACAAACACTTTGGATTTCATTTTTGTAAGAATTAAGCATTCCAATTCAATCTTTATTCTTGTTTGATTTGTTCTTAGCTATGTGCGGCTAACAAACCCTAGTTTCTAGTTTTTGTTCAAAACATGTTGATTGCTTGACTTGAAGCATATGATTTGATGTTTGATTTGTGATTCTATTCTAGTGATTATGTTTTTTTTAAACTAGAACCCTTAAATTTGATTTGTGTTTGATTAGCCACTTTCATTAATTGAATTTTTGTGTAGTTAATTAACTTTTAGGGCACCTAATCGTTCTATTAAGTTAGTAATTGGTAACAAGCAATAAGTTTTCTTATTGTAAAATACATATCACATGTTTTCACACTTTTGAGTGTATGAGAAGAAATGAACATGTTTACGAAGCTTGTACAAAACTGAATGTAATCTTCCAATACAATCCAAGAGCGTGTTTAGGTTGAATTAGTAAAGCTAGGTATAGTCAAAGAGAGTGTTTTGGTTAGATAATTTGGCCAGCTAGAGCTATTAAATCGTGTTAATATCTTTCAGTACCAACTTAGAATAGCAATCACAAATTACATCAAGTCATAATCAGGTTAAATGACAACATTGAGAACTAGAACTGGAAGCACTTTTACAACTTGTTTACAAATCTATCTCATTTTCTGCATGTTTCAAAGTTGATTGTTATTTTTTGTTATCTGACTTTTGCAAACAAAACCCCCATTTGTGACCAAAGTACCTTGTGCAAAACAGGTATATACTTTTGTTCTGTGTCTCTGTGGTTCGACTGTGCTTTCCTTGTACAACTTTTTAGTGCATTAAAGCAGTGTATTTGGAGTCCATTGTACCCCTTTATTTGTTAGGTTTGACACCACTAACAACGACAATGCTATAATGATGCTTTATCCAAGTTAGTGGAAGAATCAATACACAACACATTATTTCCTAGGTTATCTACAACCGACATAGCTTCATACACACCATCATAGGTAATGATTTAAAATAAAGAACATTATTAAAGAAAGCATTAATACTACCATATTCATTATCAAAAGAAAAGGTAAACCCTACAAAGCATGAAAAGAAATAATATTCCTCGCCATTTTAGATGAGTTACAACATTTATTCAAATCTTATGTTAACCTACTACTTAGAAACAAAGTATAAACTCCAATCTTGGTAACAGGTGATGCTTTCCTATTTCCCCATGATTAAGCTTATCTTCCCATGCTCCACATCCTCACTTCTTGTTAGTGTCTACAAATCAGAACAAATATGAATACCATAACCGATATCAAGGACCCAAGAATTAGAATGGGGTGAGTTATTAGATAATATAGTGTAAATACCTACACGGCTGGATTTCACTTTCCCATCTTTATCATCTTGCAGATACTTTGGGCAGTTTCACTTCTAGTGCGACTTTTCCTGGCAATAGAACCATTCATCCTCCTTAGGGTTGGCAGAAGGAGTGACAGAACCTTTCTTTGTTCCACTTGAAGAGGAGCCATCAAGCACTACTAGAAAACAGACCTTTAATGACACGCTTTTTACGACACACACTGATTAATGATACGCATAAGGGCGTGCCATAAAAATAATGTCAGATCTTTAGAAATTTGAAAAATTTAGGATGCGCATTTTTGCATGCCCTAAAATTAGTGTCTGACAAAACAAAAAAAACACGGAGGGTGCTTATGTTCAACGCATTTCGTCTAGAAATGTCTCTTTATAATTTACAAACGCGCGTTCCTATTAAGAAATGGGGACTAAAACTGGGGCTTTTTTTTTCAAGAACGTCATTTTGAGGTCTAACCTCTTATTCTTCTCCTCCGTCTCCCTCAAAAACCCTAGTTTCCATCTCCATTAATCTTCCCTCACCGACGATCTCATCTAAAACCTTGTTCTTACGATCCTCATCTTATAATTCTTAAACCTTGCTTCAACACCCCCTCTCACAAAATCAAAAAAATTGACGAAGAACTAGGGCTTTTTACCCCTGGAATCGGACCTCACAAATCCTTCTTAGAGTCGGCGATTGGGGCTCTGTGACTACTTACGCTCACAACAACAATGATTTTAAGGGTTTTATCCCCGAAGGGAACAATGGTGAAGGTATTACATCAGATGGTTGACTTCTAGGGCGTCATCACCTGTTTTGTGCGTAAGGAGGGTTAGCGGATGAAGAGGTAGAAGATTTTTTAAATATGAGGCTGAAGAAAGATAAGAAGATTAAACGGTACGTAATTATTTTAAAATTCATCTTCTTCATTTTTTACGTATTTGATCTCGTTTTTAATCCATGTTTGATTCAAACTTCAATCTATCTTACCCGATTTGTTTGCTTATGTTTTATTCTTCAGCACACTTGTTATCGCGATTATTGATTTCATGGTTAGTTAACTGATGGGTTCAAACTTGTCACATTCTAACATTAAAAATTAACCTTTCATGTAAGATTTGCATTCTTTATGAAATTAAGTATAATGTTGGTATTGAATTTGCAACCTCTATAATAAATCTTTTGGATCACTACTGCAAATAAATGAAATTTTCATTTTTTAACCAAACATCCGATTCATCATATGGATCTAAAGCTACATCTGCATCATATTGGATTTATAATAAGATCAGGATAAGAAGTTAATTTCAATCTAAAAATCCTATGCTTTGACCAAAAACTAACAAGAACCAGTGATCAAAGGCTAGCTGTTGGTTACTCTTCTTTTACCAAATGAAATTGGGGCATGTTAAGCATACATAGAGGTATACATTGGATTAAACATATATACTTCTGAAGGCTTTTTTTAAATGTTGTATAAACCATTCTGCATCATGAAATGTTTGTAGCTGTAAAATCATGTTTTTAGATAATCAATGGATCTGATACTGATTGTTATGAACTTACAGATGACAACTATTAAAAGGGCACTTTAGGATGACAATGAACCAAACTCTGTTCAATTTATTTATAAGTTATTATCAAGGTTGATGTCAATATAATAGATTTTATTATCAGTCTAGTAATGGAGATATTATTTGTGACTCAATAACTAAATAATAATATGTTTTAAAATTTTAGGAAGAGCAAAAACAAGCTTGAAGAACTGTTACATCAATGGTCAGAATGGCATACCCTAGAATTCTCTTTATCTGAGGCAAAATTTATTTTTCCAACAACAATTAAGTTTAAGAAATTCTCACAGTTATTTCAGAATGAATCAACTTGTTGAATGTTTTTAGGGTTCTAATGAAGATCTTTTTCGGTAATAATTGTTTTGTGTTTTGTGAGCAGTTAACAGATTTTGGGTTGTCAAAGATGGGTCTAATTAACAGTACAGACGATTTATCTGGTCCAGCAGTGAGTGTCACATCACTATTGGGTGACAATGGGACTCAGTCATCTCTCTCATCTCCATCTCCATCTCCATCTCTGTCTGCCACTGGGACTCAGCAAGAAAGATGCAAAAACCGCTCTGCTGTTGGACAACTCCAAACTATTTGGCACCCGAGATTCTTCTGAGAAATGGACATGGTTTGTTCACAACTAACTTGATATAATAATGACATGAATTGCTTATAAAATCTCATGCATTAAAATGTTTTATTCAAATATCTTTCAGGTACATCAGCGGATTGGTGGTCTGTTGGTGTAATAGTATTTGAGCTGATTGTTGGCATTCCTCCTTTCAATGCAGAGCACCCTCAGGTGGGGTTGGGGTTCTACTTTCACTTCTTTGTTAGTTGCTGTAATCTTACCTTTTCTTCACTGTTTTTTCAGATGATATTTGACAACATTCTCAACTGTAACATACCCTGGCCTGCAGCCTGATGAAATGAGCCCTGATGCCCAGGATCTCATTGATCAAGAAGAGAAACTTTTTAATTATCATCTTTAAATTTTAAATACATTTTTATGAGTTCAATCATTGTGCAGATTACTGACAGAAGATCCCAACCAGAGACTTGGAGCTAGGGAGCAACCGAGGTGTGCTTTCTTCCTTTTCTTGATCAACATTAATCATTCTAAACAGGAAGCTGAATAATTTGATAAATACAGGTGAAACAATATCCATATTTTAGGGATATTAACTGGGATACCCTTGCCAGAAAAAAGGTGCATGGAATACATTAACTATTAAACTTTGCTTGATCTGATCATTTAAAAAAAAGTTGAAAATAGAAACAAAGTTAGTTATTTCATATTATTTATGCGGATATGTATTATTTGTTAAACTTGTAATATTTCTGGTACATCTAATGGCATGCGGACATTCTAGCTGTTAGAGATACTTGGTTTAAAGCATATGATAATTTTATATGTTTGTAGTTTATTGAGCATTTGTTGAAATGCTGATACGTCTAGCTTTTTAATACTTACTAGAAGACGATCATTCAATAAATTATTGTTTGAATCAATTATGATGATAGGGCATCTGAAGTCAAGGGGATACTCTGGAGGGTTGAGGAGCTCAGAGATTTGTACACCAGAGATGAAGGTAATAATGTTACTTAATTTAACATTATCTTAGTTAGTTAGTTAGTTGTTTATGTGTAAGTGTAACTGAAACATTATATTTTTCTGTGTTTATAGATATCATATGATTGTGAGAACTCTAAGGAATCTGAATCACCCCGGTTTCAAGCCATACTTTGGGTAACAAGTGCTCCTAGAAAAAGATATCCCGCTGACATCAAAAGTTTTTCCCATGAATTGAGCTCAAAAGCGTACGACCTTTCCCACTTTGGAAGCCTCGAGGTAGGCAGCCATTTATTTATGTATCTTGTATTGTATATTTGTATTAAAATAAATAGCTGATTGATTTAAATTTAATTTATGTGAGCGGAGCAGGAGGTTTTGTCAATGATACGGGGTAAGTTTGACAAAGCAAAGGAAGAAGTGGATGCTGATCTTCATATATTTGCTGGAGATTTACTTGGCATTCTAGAAAAGAATGCAGAGAGTCAACCGCAATGGCATGAAACTCTAGAGGACTTACTGGTGTTGGCTCAGAGGTGTGCCATGACATCTCCTGGAGCTTTTTGGTTGCAGTGTGAGTGGATTGTTCAGGAACTGGATGACAGGTGCCACGAGCTCCCCATGGGTATCTTGAAATAGCTTCACACCCGAATGCTCTTCATACTCACAAGATGTACAAGGCTCCTACAGTTCCATAAAGAAAGCAGATTGGCTGAAGATGAACTTGTTGTTCAACTCCATCAATCCCTTCATTCAGCAGATAAACGTATTCCTCCAAGACCCTCAAAACCACTATCATCATCGTCATCAAGAAAATCTTTCAGTCAGGAACAACACGGGATACTTAAAGCTCAACCCTCCATGTCATGTAGGACCCGCTTTCGTCCCAAATCTGACCAAGGAATGACCACATCATATGCTGGCAACATGACTCCTAGGTCGCCATTGGTGACACCAAAAACCACTACCAGCCAGATAGACTTGTTATTGGCAGGGAAGGGTGCCTATTCTAAACATGATGACCTTCCACAGGTAGTTAATAGGTTCTTATTTGTTATGAGATATAGGTACTGATATTGAAATATTTTTAGATGAATGAGCTTGCTGATATTGCTCGATGTGCTGGCAATACGCCATTGGATGATGACCGATCTTTGTCGTATCTGCTGACGTGTCTTGATAACTTAAGATTCGTGATCGACCGGAGAAAGTTTGATGCCCTGACCGTCGAGACATTTGGAGCACGCATAGAGAAGCTTATTCGGTGATAACATTTTTATAATAAACATGTTTTTTTATGAGGTGTGTGTTTGTTAAATCATAAATCATAAATCACAAATGTAAATTATTAGTTGTTACAAGCAGGGAGAAGTATTTGCAAATGTGTGAGATGGTTGATGATGAAAAAGTTGACATCGCAAGCACGGTTATCGTTGAAGATGCTCCATTGGAGGATGATGTGGTACCGAGCTTGAGAACCAGCCCTATACATTCCATAAATAAGGACTACACTTCCATTGATGACTTTGAGATTATAAAAACGATTAGACGTGGAGCATTTGGGCGCGTCTTTTTAGCGAAAAAGAGAACCACAGGAGATCTTTACATTATAAAGGTACCTCACCCTTTCATTCTTCATTTGTTTATTATATATTTATATTTATGGATTTTTTTGGCGGGTTCTTAAGAAAGCTGACATGATCAGGAAGAATGCGGTCGAGAGTATATTGGTAGAGCATGATATTTTGATATCAGTCCTCAATCCTTTTGTGGTAATAATATATATATTTTTTGGTCTTTCTTTAGAAAATATAATAAAATATGAAATACTTAAATTGTGATAGGTCCGTTTCTTTAATTTTTTTACTTGTCGCGAAAATTTGTACCTTGTCATGGAATACTTGAATGGCGGTGATTTATATTCGTTATTGAGAAACTTAGGCTGCTTGGATGAAGATGTTGCTCGTATATACATTGCAGAAGTGGTATGTTTTTATTTTCATTTTATTTCTTATCAAGACATCGTACCCTGAAAAATCTATCCAATGCCAATTATATGATATAAACTGGCTAAAAGAAAGTAAAATTATAGGTCTACAGTTCAACAAGTAGTAAATTCAATTTCTGCTCAACAAATCCCTAACCCTAACACCCTATATATACTATTATTCTAACTTGCTAACCAAAAAACTTAGTCAATAGGTTGTTACGAAAGAATAAAAATAACACTAAGCCCCCTCCAATGCAAAATGTTATTCTAACAATCTTTGAGTGCTTTAAATAATAAACCTCTCCCATAATGCAAATTTGTATCATTACTTCCAAATTTTTTCTTTTGTGGGGGATATTGCTATAAATATAATTGGGTAGAATAGATTTTTGAAAGTAGGATGCAATAAATTATAATAGACAGACAAATAAATGGAAGTTTGTTGAATTTAAATTAGTTTGAGTTTTGATATATTGTGCACTGCAGGTTCTTGCTTTGGTGTATCTACATTCTCTGCGTGTGGTTCACCATGAGACAACCTGACCCTTCAACTCCCAACTTAAAGGTTCATTGTTTTTTTCTTTTCTTATTCATAGTATAATTAATTGTAACTTTCAGTGATCATTATTGATTTATTATTATTATTATTTTAATTATTCAGATTGATCTGCTAGCTGAGATTAGTCGGTCACCTTGCATTCTGTCGGAAGTTGATGCATCTCTGAAAACTAAGCGAATGAAAAATGATGTGGATGAGTATCTAAAGGTACTTTAAAACTAAAACAAACTATTAACAATTCTGATTCATTTCAGACTCTTAATTAATTTATAATTTTGTTTTTTTTATACTTATACATACAACGCCACAAGGGACTTCTTTTATGTCTAAACTAAACCATAAACTTCTTATTACACCAAGTGAGGCAGCAAGGGCAGGAACATGATACAATGTGCCATTAATGAATTCCCTTGTTCTTTATGTTGGAATGGAGGTATTTTTTTTGGTTAATATAAATTTTTTTGGTATGCAGTTCCTGTCATAGTTGCTTCAACTGCTCCTTTTGACAAACAACCAGAAGTTGATGTTAGTGAGGAAGAGTTTCTACAATTTGACACAACTGCAATTCCTGTCATAGTTACTTTAAACAAGGTGTCCCTTAATAGCAATGTAGTATTAGGTTATATATAGTTAGGGAAAACCTCTTAATAACATTATAGAATCGGATCCCCTTTACACTTTGTTACTTCTTATTTATGATTATATTGGATTTAAAATTAGTTTTCATGCTTTATCAGGGTGCTACAAATATAAAAGTGGGCAGGAACAGATATGAACAACAAGAGCAGCCGGTCACATAGTGTTTTCACCTGCTGGTTCTCAAAGGTAATTTGGTAGCTTAAACCATTGAGCTAATGATGATGCGATCCTTTGTTTGTTTGTTTTCAGAGGTCAAGTATTGCTATCAACCAATTAAAATTTCGTTCACCAATGGCGTAATTAAGGTATCAATATCATCACTCTTACTTATTTGTCTATATCATTTTCATGAAAATGTTTATGTTGTGTAGTATATATTCATATGCCCAGTTGTGCTTTCTATATAGAAAATGTTAACCTTGGTCTTTGCGTTTTTTTTTCATAGATTACAAACACCAATTTCTTTCAAACAACAGAAGATCTAGAGTTTAATTGGGTGATTGAAGGTGATGGATGTAAACTTGATTCTGGAACTCTCAGTCTACCAACATTAGAGTTTAATTGGGTGATTGAAGGTGATTTTGGTTCTTGAAACGAGACTCAAGATATCATATTTTGGCATGGCTAGAAGCTTTGGAGGAAACGAGACTCAAGAAAAAGTAAACATACAGAGAGCTGTTGGCCCATAGTAAGCTAGATGATGCAATTGTATATAAATGAGTTCATTTTTTTATAACATTTATTAATTTTTGGAATAGTTATTTGTATTTGACATATTAGTGAAATGAATTATCTTTGTTATTTCTGGTATTTTATTTTGTATTATGAGATTTTTAATGTATTATTTAATTTGAAAATTAGTAGATCTATAAATAATTTTTTTTAAACATTTAAAATTATGATACGCAAAAATGTGTGTCATCTTCATTTAGGACATGGCTTTTCTTGATACACATTGCGTGTCATTAACACGCGCGTCGTAAGGTTACGACACACGAATGTGTGTCGTCTTCCTTTATGACATTGCCAAGATAGGAGTCGTGGTAGGAGTAGGAGTGGTAACCACCGATTTACTCTTGAGACCACTTTCGACGGTCTTCAAGAGTCCTTGAAGTTTGCTGAGTGTAACTTCCTCCTTGTTCATGTGGTATGTCATTCGGAATTGATGAAAACAAAAAGGTTAGGAGTGCAAAATTGTATCAATTGCCAACTCCTTGGGGAAGCTCACATTTAGCTTCAGCAAACGGTCCACATACCTTTACATTTTCTATATGTGGCCCATGATGGGTTCACCAACATTCATTCGGGTTGTTATCCTGGAGCAAATGATGTCATACCTCTCTTAAAGAGCACTTTGATGGTAGCCGTCCATCAAGTCCTGGTGCATATCAAAAGGGTAGTAGTCCTCATATGACTTTTGGAGCTCGTCTTTCATTGTTGCCAACATGATACATGCCACTTTAGTGGCATCTCTCTCATGAGTCTGGAATTCAACGATCTCCTCAGAAGTAGCAGACGACTCATCAAGTTCCTTCAGCTCCTTGTCGAGGACATATTCCTTGTCCTCGTAAGGAGTAACTATCCTGATCTTCTAAATCCAATCCATAAAGTTGGAACCATTGAAGATGAATCTCCCACAAAGGTTCGTGAGAGAGAATGAGCCGATAGGGTTTGATCCAGAAGCAACATTGTTTGAAGATATCTGAAAAGGAAGAAAGACAAGTATAGATTAGATATAAAGATAGTCCTTAATAAAACACCCAAATGTAATATTAAGGCCAGGAACCAACACAATATTTTATTATTTAGAAGATGGATGCCATAATCCAAGCTATAAAAGATTTGAAGGTAGGTGAATGATGATTCACCAATTTCCACCATCAAAAACAAAATAAATTATTAGGTTTTAATGTGTTTTGAAACTCCTAGATTCTTTGAGATTCATTGAACTTTTCAATGGTATGTTTAAATATCGAGTGTGCCCTTCAAGTTTTGTGACTGGGATGCCGAGGATCACAAAACAAGGCGTGAAGTAACCATGCAAATTACTTGGTACCCTTAATATTTACCCCTCAATAGATGTGCCGGTTAACCACACGCGCTCCATCGATACTATGATAAGTATTAAGTTACCCTTTTCCCACCTTGTTAATTCCAAGTTAGTGTGCCCATTAACCACACACGCTCCACTAACGACTAAAACAAGGTGCAAAGTGTAATTTCATGGGTTAGGATCTTATTCACATTTTCCTAATGTAACTAAGATTGGGAATTTATAAAACATTTAGTTACTTTAGTATCATTATACTTTTAATGAGGATTAAAGTCATTGACCTACCCATTCGGCTAACGACCCTCCACCAGTCAAGGAAGTGGTGGGTGAGAGTAGACACCCATTAAGCTGCTATTTTATAGGCAACAATCTTATACCCCCCCCCCTTATAGACCGGCTTCGTGAATGAGGCCTACTAACGATAAAAACGAATTTTGTTCTTATATATATATATATATATATATATATATATATATATATATATATATATATATATATATATATATATATATATATATATAATTAACTTATAATGTTATAAAGTATAAGGGTTAAATTTTAACTTTTAAAATTCTAAGGGTTTGGAACTAAAGTTTTTAAAGTGACTTTACATGTTCCAAAATTTGACGGCAAGTTTTGAAACTTTCAAAACTTTTCATCTATCATAACTTATGAGTTAATGATTTATTAAAATGAGAGACTTTTCATTTTATGTAACCTATGTGTTTAATAATGGACTTTAAAAGTGTGACTTTTAGTAATCCATAACTTGAGGAAAAATTATGGATTCCATTTAAACACATCAAGATCAAGAATTAAACTATCAAGCAAGTTACAAATAATTCCTATGATCTTCCAAACTCATAAGTTCATGAATGTTCATATCAACATTTTCAAGAATCATAAATAAACCATACAAAACTTGAAATTATGATATTAGCCATTGAAAATAGATTAGCACCACCATTACACCATCTAAAACAAGTTTTACAACATTAAAACAGTTTAGGGTAATGTTTCTAATCCATTTCCAGGAGAAAAAGTCAAAAAACTGCACTCTGACAAGCCAACTCATCGAGTGCATGAACTGACTCGTTGAGTTGGTTGAAGAAAGGCATGGACTCATCGAGTCCCCCCGTGGACTCGACGAGTTTACCCAGGCAAAAAAAAAGTTTTTTTGATTTTCTTAACAAGTTTGCATCATGTATCAAATACACAAGCCGAGGCTCTGATACCACATAAGGGTTTTGAACATTCTAACACTCCTAAGGTGTACATGCAACCCTAGAAACCTTGGATCTATGTTTTACTAAGATACATGCAAAAATGATTTTCCAATGTTCTTAACCTATCTAGCATAGCGTAGGAAACTTTTGAACATAAATTCTAGAAGAAGAACATACCTTTTTGTAGTTTGGTTTCCTTGAGAACCTTGTGAGCCTAGCACCTCAAGTGTGATGCCTCAAATGTATCACACAACACTAGAAAAACTTGGAATAACCTTGATATAAGTACAGTTACACTCTAAAATCAGCTATCCCTCTATCTTGTACAAGTAGTGCCGATTTTGCTTGCATATGGGCCTTTATATAGCTATGGCACAAGTTGGCTTACACCATGTAAACCCTAATTGTCATGGCTTTGCACACTCCATGATCCATGGGTTTGTAACCTCCATGGACTATCCATGGAGCACCCTTTAGGTTTTAACCCAATCCATACAAACCATGGATCATTAGCCCAACTATACAAGAATAGATGATTTAGACAATCAACCCCATATATTTAATTAGTCTCTTTTTGATCACTTAATTAGTTCTATATGAATTCTTGATCAATACTAATTAAATAATATTATTAATATATTTGAACTTATAATATATTAATAAACCATTAGTGTTATTTCTCTCATTTAGTCTATCCAAATGTTGCAATGCCATGCAACCCAAATGGACCATGCTAACCGGATCAAGTACATTCCATGAATAGTTATGAACTTAGACACCTAATCCAACAATATGTGCACCATAGGATGTTGTATTATACAAAACCCAACAATGATATCAGATCCTAGGATTGTTTTCTGTTATATTTGATGCTTATTAATTTTTCAAAGTTGTCAAAAAATCGATATCTGGCCTCTGACTGATGAACTCGCCTAGTCCACTAGCTGACTCGATGAATTCCACTCAGTAAAAAGGGCAACTCGACAAGTCAGGTTCATGCAATCGTCGAGTAGGTGCTTCTGGTTGCAGAATTTTGAGTTTTTGGCCAGAATTGGACTAGGATCATTACCACGAACTATTTTGTAATCATAACAAATTTTATTTTTTTGATTTGGTAATGATGATCCTCTTCCAATCAAAATATAATTGTCAAAATTTCAAGATATGTATTAGTTTATATGATAGGCTAATTTCTTGTAAATTGTTGATATGAATTTTCTTGACTTATGAGTTTAACTAGATCATAGTTAAATTATACGATAATGTTTTACTTGTTAAAATAATGATATAAATGTTCTTTAAAGTCTTCCATACTGATATGGGCATATTTAGTTATAAAATTCATGCATTATCTTAATACTTTATGTTGATTTTATCTCATTTAATGAACAAAAGGTGTTTAATTAGTTTAGAATTTCATTTTTTAGCAATTATGACATGCGCGGATGGAAAAGGAAGCGGAACTAGCGATTGGACGCTTGGATCTTGGATTTTAAAGAAAGAAGGATGTTGCTGGATAGCTTGACCCCTCGTCAGTGTTTTGGCCATATCTCATGAAAAGTAACTCCGATTGACAAGATTCAAAATGTTCTGAAAATTAGACACAGTTTCGGACGACTTTCGTGTTTTGAGAAAATGCTGATTCGAAATGTACTCGGCGAGTAGGGTTGATTACTCGGTGAGTTGTATCGAACTTTCACGATTCTGGACGCGCTGACTTGCCGTACACGGGTTTTAAGTGACGGACTCGCCGAGTAGGTCACTGGACTCGCCGAGTAGCCTCTGTTTTGTAAAAATCTATATAAAGGGACTTTTAGATCGATACCCTAGCATATAGATGAACCCTTGGAGGCCAATTGTCGACTAAAGGTGTTGTTGGAGCGTGGGAAGCAAGGGAATCAACCCTACATTCAATTTTAAGGAGAATCAAGTCAAAATCAAGTTTATTCTTACCTAATCTCTATTTTGAACTATGTTTTTACCAATTGATTTCGTTTTTGTGCTTGTTTATGTTGTAATCATGAGCTAAAAACTCATAACTTCTGTTTAGGTAGATGAATTTGTGAACATGGATTGATTATTTGATTAGGATTAATTTTAATTGGTGATTATGTTTTATTAAGCTTGTTAAAGAACCTTATGTGTTAACAATAACTATTCTTCTGTCAATAAATTAGTAATTAAGTTGTATGAACATCTCTTAGTTGCTAATTTCATATGATTTACGTGACCACATAGTTGTATGTCTAGGAATAACGAATGTGAAACTAGAATTAACTTGAAGATAGGTAAGTTAATGTGTGAGCTTGTGTG